ATCTAAATCATTCTACTGACGTTAACATAAGCTCTTCCCTGGGTGGTGCAAACAAATGGTTAAATGCTTGACTCTTAGCTGAAACATTGACGGTTTGAACCCACTCAGACGTGCCTTGGAAGACGGGCCTGGCAATCTATGTTGGAAAAATCACAGACTTAAAAAAATCTTGGGGATCCCTGAGGCAGTTACCTCTTTAAACCTTGAACCAAAGCCATTCCATGAAGTCATCTTTTAGCTGAATAACAGATTGGCTCATAAAGTAAAAAACATCACTCATGAATCCTGTAACCCATTAATCCACTGCTGTGGACTTAATTCTGACTCATAGTTGTGGTGTTATAGGATAAACCCTAGACTGCTAACCACACGGTCGGTGGTTCAAATCCACCAGCTGCTCCTCAGAAACCCTATACAGGGTTGCTATGAGTTGGAACCAACTCAACAGCACGTAGCACCCCTACAGGACACACTAGAAGTGCTTCATAGCGTTTCTGAGGTTGTCAGTCTTTGCAGAAGCAGACTACATCATTCTCCCTTCAGAGCAGCTGGTGGGTTCAAGCTGCTGGCCAACACTTAATGAGTTTTATACTTTAAAAAAAAAAAAAAAAATCTGTATGAGACCAAAGGGTCAACACCTACTCAAAAGCTAAGAAGATGCGGAGGCAGGGAAACCAGATTACTGGAAATGCAACAAGCAGAACAGAAAAAAATGAGGAAGTTGGCATGCTGCAAAATGTAACTGATGCCAGGGAGAAAATTAGATAGAACTTATTCAAGGAGAAGCTAATTTGCTTGGTACACTTTCACTAAAAACACAATAAAATGACATTTTGAGGAAAAACAAATCAACAGTTCTTCTTTGTACACACTGGGTTGCCAGGGGTAAGAATTGACTTAACAAATGAAAACAATAACACAAACTCAGTGCCCTAAAATAAAGCCCATCCCCTTCTCCCCTCCCTCCCACCTCTGGTAAACACCAATCATCTTGGTTTCTATACATTCGCTTGGAGTCCTGGCATGGCGCTGTAGGATAAGCACTGCACTGCTAACCCCAAAAGCCCTATATACAGGGTCGTTCTGAGACGGAACCAACTCAACGGCACTTAACAGCAACAAGGAACCCTGGTGGCATGGTAGCTAAACACACAACTGCTAACCAAAAGGTCAGTGGATTGAACCCACCTGCTGTTCTGAAGGAGAAAGATGTGACAGTCTGCTTTTGTAAAGATAGGTCTTGCTATTAAGTGCCATCAAAAAGGTTTCAACTCGTAGCATCCCTGTACAAGGTTTCTAAAGAGTGACTGATGGGTTTGAACCACTGACCTTACAGTTATCAGTCCAGTGCTTCTCCTACACATGACAGAACTCCTTGTAAAGGTGATAACTTGGGAACCCTATGGAGCAGATCTACCTTGTCCTATGAGATGGCCATGAGTTGGAATTTCATATAAGCAAGATCATCCAACATTTGTCCTTTTGTAACTGACCTGTTTTCACTCAGCATAATGCTTCCTAGGTTTAATCATGTTGTGGCTAAATCTATTCTTGACATTTAACTGCCGACAACTTTTGAGCCTCAACTCTCCTCTGTGCCCTTCTGCTCCACATCTAGGCAAACAAATAAGAAATCCAGTAGGCTCTGGGAACATGTTTGTGGGAAAAGACGGCATACTCATTTTGAGCTCTCCAGGAGGTTCTTGGATGCACAGAGCTGATGCTTGAGAGAGTGACCTGGACAAGAGAGAGAGAGAGAGAGAGAGAGAGAGAGAGACTTAAGATCCAGCACGTCACTGAAGAGCCTGTGAAACTGACAAGGTGTATGAACTCACTCAGGGAGAACTTGCGGAGTGAGGAGAACAAGGGATGGGATGAGGCCCTGGGAACACCCTTGTTTTTAAGAGATGGGCAGAGAAAAGAAGGCCTATTCATGAAGAAGAGACAGGGAAGTAGGAGGGAAACCAGAAAAGCATGGTGTCTGGGGAGCTGGAAGAGAAATATATTTCAAGAAAGAGGGAGTGGCCAGTCATGTTGAATGCAGCTGAGAAGTTGAGTAAGATGAAGACAGAGATGACCGTTGGATTGAGTAATGAGGATGTCTCTGGAGACCCAAACAAGACCGTGGTCATGGGGTGCAAGCAATGGAAATCCAATGGGAGTGGACTGGAGGGAGAAAGGAGGGGAAGGGGTGGAGGCAGTAAGTAGATCTCCAGGCAATTTTGGTAGCTTCCAAAATACCCGATATTCCTGTCCATCTTTTGTTGCTTTGTTCTGCGTTCCTGAAAGGAAACAGTGTGCAAATGTTGGCCTCTTCCCAGCCCAGTGTTTCAGGTGCGAAAACTGAAGGGTGGTATCAGCCATTGTCGTCTTCTTTTTTTTCTTTAAATATTTTATTGTGTTTTTGGTGAAAGCGTACACAGCAAATTAGGTTCTCACATATCAATTTCTATACATTTTGTCCAATGACACTGCATTTTCTACAACGTATCAACATTCTCATTAATTCCATTCTGGTTGTTCCATAACCATTAATCTAGCTTCCCTGCCACTCCCTCCCTTCTCCACCCCTCACCTTCTCATCTCTGCTTTAAGGTAAATGCTGACTGGTCTCATGTAGATGTTGGGGTTGTTGTTGTTGTTTTAAGTAGCACATTACTCATGGGTGATATTATTTTATGAGCCAATGTTATTTAGTTTAAAGGTGAGCTCCAGGAGTGGGTACGATTCAATTTTTTTTTCCTTAAAAAAATACATCTATATTTTTTAATTGTGAATTGAGTGAAGGTTTACAGAAAAGATCATGAGTTTTACATTCAACAAATCATATGCTTCAATTCATCTCAATGAATGGCTGAAATCCCCTCCATGCAAAAACAATTGCCCCACTTCCTCTCTGTGATTACCCATGTACCTTGGATCCTCTTTCAAATTCTTATATATTTGCGGGATACAGACACACATATATTTATATATACCACATTTCCTTCTACACCCATTCAGCCTGTGTCTCTGTCACTGTATCTACACTATTGTTCTAAGGTTATCTAAATCACTATTTACCTCTCTCCCCTTTAACCCTTACATACCTATCTGTGTCTTCACCTATCTTCATCATTCTTCTGCCACCTTTCCTCCTCTTATATATTGCCCTCCTGAGTTAACACGTGTTTACCCTCTAGTCAGTGAATTACTCTCTCTTCCCTCCCATCCCTGGTAACAATCAAAGAATGTTTCTTTTAGTATGAAAACCTTTTACTGAGTTTTTACAATTGTGGTCTCATACAATATTTGTCCTTTGTGATTGACTAATTTCACTCAGTATAATGTCCTCCAGGTCTGTTCATGTTATGAGGTGCTTTGCCAATTCGTCATTATTTTTCAATGTTGCATAGTATTCCATTGTGTGTGTGTGTACCAGTTTGTTTATTCTTCCACTGCTGGGCATTTAGGCTGTCTCTATCTCTTTGCTGTTGTGAATAGCACTGTGATAAACATTGGTGTGCATGTGCCTACTCATGTCCTGGCTCATATTTCTTATGGATTTATACCAAGTAGAAGGATTGCTGGGTCATACGGTATTTCTATTTCCAACTTTCTGAGGAAGCACCACACCATTTTCCACGTGGTTGAACCATTTTACAGTCCCACCACCAATGTAGGTGGGTACCAGTCCCTCCACACCCTCACCAGTATTTATTTCTTTTTATTTATTTATTTTAACGTTGCTACTCATGCTGGTATGAGGTGATAGCTCACTGTTGTTTTGGCTTACATCTTTTCTGGTAGGATGATTTGAGCTCAACTGCTGACCTAAAGATTGGCAGTTCAAACCCACCCTGTGGCACCAGGAAAGGAAGATCTGGTACCCTACTTCTGAAAAGATCACAGCCAAGAAAACTACAGGGCAGGAGGCAATGCGTGTCATGTTGGGGTTTTGTGTGCTTCTTGAAACAGAGAAGGTGAGGGCCCTTCAGGGTAATCAAGAGTTGATTATACATTTCAAAAAAATTGATTAGAATCTGATTTTCACACAACCCAGCTTGAGAGTCTACTTCTGTCTCTCCATGGGCACCAAGTTTGGAAGTCTTCTTTCTCTCCTTCTGTTCTTGGACTTCCCTCCCTCTCACCTTAATCTCCAGTCCTCTGCTGCTTGTACAGCCTCCATGTTCTCCTGCCCCTCCCCTGGCCTCTGTGGGATCAAGTTCTGGGCCTCCCTGTTCCCCACCCTCTCAGAGCCTTCGTCACTGGAGTCTGGATTAGAACACAGGTCTTCTATCACCTTGAGTCATCATCAATCCAGAGGTCCTGCCTGGTTTTGGGAAGAGGGAAGAGGAAAGGGTGCGGGGTCTTCCCTTCTGAGTCATTTAAGGACCCTTAGTCCCTCCCTTTCTTCTCCTTCTTCCCCTTCTAAGGAGCTGTAAAGTTCAATTACGTACTGTCAATCATCTGAGAAGAGCTTCTACAGGATTAGAGGAGACCCGCCCCACCCTTGTCCCCTTCCCTCAACCAGGAAATTGGATAGGCTGTGTGTGACAAAGAGAGTTAAAAGCTTGGCCAGAGTCCAGTTTGGGGCAGACAGATAGACAGAAGGAAGAACACAGGTGGAGGAGCATGACAGGTAGCTGAGGAGCCAGGTGGACAGTGGGGGAGTTGACAGACCAGGTAGCCAGCAGATGAAAGAACAAACAGGTAGGTGTAGAGAGAGATAGCAGACAGGCTGACCAACGTACGCGCAGACAACAGGATACACAGAAACAGTGACATCCATATAGAGGATCCGGCAGACAAAGAGACAAGGTGAGAGGGGACAAACAGTCACCAAGAAGGGAATGGTACATGGGGGGGGGTGGGGGGGGAGGGTGGTAATGTACTTCCCTGCACGGGAAGATGAGCCAGAAATGGGAAAGATAGGCAAAGAAGGGGAGGTGGATTGATCGAGAAAATGTTATCTTCTGAGGACCTCCATCTTTTCTCCAGATCTTGGTGGTGGCCCCGCCATGGGGCCCAACATTCTTTTGCTTCTATGTCTGATTGGTGAGTTACCTTAGGGGACTGGAATTTGGTCTCACAAGAGGACCCCTATCTCCCCATCTCAGCTCTGGACCCCAGCCTGGTATTGAGGAGGGGAGGGGGGTTCGCTCTGCTTCCAACCCTAGGAGAGATGCTTATTTCTGGCTTCTTATCTTTTTAATCTCCCCTCCATTTGTCACTCTGCATCTGTCCTTTCTCTGAATAACTGTGGCTCTGAGTCTATTTCCCTCCTATCTTTAAGGATCTCTTTCTGTTACTTTCTGTACTTCTCTTGGTGTTTTGCTGTGTGTGCCTGCACTGCAAACCACAATGTTGGCTGTTCAAACCCACCAGCTGCTCCTTGGAAACTCTATACAGGATTGCTGAGTCAGAGCCGATTTAATGGCACTTAACAACATAAGGAGCTCTGGTAGCGTAGTGGTTACGAATCGGGCTGCGAACCTTAAGGTCAGCGGTTCGAAACTACCAGCCGCTCCGTGGGAGAAAGATAAGGCTTTCTACTCCCGTAAGGATTTACACCCTCGGAAACCCTGTACAGGGTCGCTATGGGTCGGAACCGACTCGATGGCACTTAACAACAACAACAACAACATGCATAGCTTGGTCTTTGTGCCTCCCTGCTTCTTGTCTATTTTGCCATTTTCTCTTCCTTGTTTCTCTTTCTCTTCTCCACGTTCCTGTCTTTCTGGTACCTGTTTCTCTATCTCTGTCTTTCACTTGTCTATTTTTCTCAGTCTCATCTTTTTCTTCGAGTTTATTTCTCTTTCTCTTGCCTGTTTGTCTTTCTGTTGCTCAAATCTTTCATCTCTGCCTTTCTCTCTGTCTTTCTGTGTCTGTCTCACCTCATATCTCTTTTCTTATCTTGAACCCATAATCCATGTCTCTGACCCCCATCTTTCTGGCCTGTCTCCAGGGCTCAGCCAGGAGGCCATACAGAAGATTTACAATGGCACCGAGTGCATCCCTAACTCACAGCCTTGGCAGGTGGGGTTGTTTGAAGGCACCAACCTTCGCTGTGGTGGTGTCCTCATTGACCGTAGGTGGGTTCTTACAGCTGCTCACTGCAGCGGCAGGTAAGCCTAATCTGAGTTCCTTCCTGGGGTGGGTGAAGGGAGACTCTTAGGAAAGGATTACTGGGTTTCAATTCTCAGGGAAGGGGGATGGCAAAGGATAAGCAGCTAGCCCTGAAACAAGATAGTATGAGGTTCAACAAGAAGTAGAACCTCCTTAGCAGTGGTCAACAGTGGAGTAAGGTGAAATGCAGGAAAGGAGAGAGGAGGGACTTGGGATCTTTCGATGCTTCCTGTACCATTCCCTCATACCTCTCTTCTTCCTTTAATGGTATCAGTCATCACCAGCTCCAACCATTCCCTGACCCAGTCTGGGTCCTGAGTCCATATCTGACTCAAACTCTTTGTATAACCTCAAAGATGAAGTCTGGTGCCTCTCTGGACTCCAGTGGTCCTATCTGTCAAAATGAAGGGTTTGGCCTTTCCTGGTCTGTGTTCTGGATTGTGTGTGTGTGTGTGTGTGTGTGTGTGTGTGTGTGTGTGAAAGGAGAGCTCAGATATAAGGAAACAGGGACTCAGGGATGGGACAAAGAGAGCCCATTCATTGCTTACCTGTTCATTTATTCAACAGTGTTCACAACACTCTCTCTGTGCCAGGCAGTCTTCTAGGTTCTGGGAATAAAGCAGACAACTAAGCAGATAGGTGTCCCTACCCTTGTGGAAATCATAGCAGAATCAGAGAGGCCACAGGGGCACTGCATGGAGCCCACACTAACGGAAAAGAAATTTGGTGGATGCCAAAATGGAAAGGCAGAGCTAGGGGTAAAGACAGAGCTGGAAGAGAGCTCTCGAGAAAGAAAGAAGGAGAAGACAGTGGCTGGCATGCAGGGAAGCAGACAGAGCCATGAGGGTCTGAGAGTGTGGGCAGAGGTGTGGGTGCCTGCACACTTGACACCTGATGAACCCTCATGATCCCCCAGAAATTATTGGGTGCGTCTGGGGGAGCACAGCCTCAGCCAGCTGGACTGGACAGAGCAGATCCGGACCAGCAGATTCTCCGTGACCCATCCCAGCTACCAGGGAGCTGTGCAGAACCATGATCATGACCTCCGACTTCTGCGGCTGGGTTTGCCTGTCCGCTTGACCCGGGGTGTTCAGATGCTGCCACTGCCCAGAACCTGTGCAACTGCTGGAACCAAGTGCCACATCTCAGGGTGGGGCACCACCAACCGGCCATGGAGTAAGGGGGCCCTGGGATTGGGATCAGGGCCAGGGTGGGTCAATATTTTAGATACAAGGTGAGAGGTCAGGAGTTGTGACATCTCAAAGGAAGAGTATGGGGGAAACTGCTGGGTGGTCATGGATTGGGGTCAGAGATCATGGTGGCTCAAGTGGGTCTACGGAGTCAAAGTGGTTAAGAGATTGGGTCATGAATGTTGTGAGGTCAGAGTAATATCAAGGCCCATC